TTTTATTTTCACTGTCTTTAGTGATTGTCCAGCATTCACAGCCATATAGAAGGGTTGACCAAACATAGCATTTCAGGACTTTCATTTTGAAGGGAGGACAGAGATGATAAAAGCAGCGCGTGGAGTAACTATTCAGCAGATTTTGAAATCCTGTTACTCCTTGATCTTTAACAGATTTTGAAAGTCTGTGCAAGAATGATCATTTGAAACACACACATAATAAACAAAGCAACAAGTCTTATCAATCAAATTTCCATTCTGTCAATGAAAAATGGTGGCGAACTAACCTCTCTTTCATCGTCCCCAAACGGTATGCTAAGAGTTCCCATCGCCCGTATAATGGCAACCAGTGACTGTATCGTGTTGCTGTAGACCACTGGTTTATACTGTTTATTATCCTCGCTGGAGAAACCGCCTTCGTGGATAATTCTGAGGAAATAAACAAAAAAAATATAAATGATAAAATTGTATAGTTTAAAAGCAACACATAAAACACTTAGTCTCAGTTTTAGTAACATTTTTACAGCACCTGCAACACAATGATAAGGTCATGTAAGTTCCGAAGATTAGAGGTGTTACAAGAGAGTAACAAACACAAAAAAAGGAGGAGAGATCAGGATGATAGACATTTGGTAGGAAAGAAGGCGCAAACCACACCAGAGCACCCGCCAACCACCCATACAAAACGCTTACACAAATACAAATTCTCATATTAATGAATAATAATAAATAGCATTCGTATAGTGCATATCCCTGCTCGGCTGCATGCTCTATGAGCTTTACAATCTACCGTTACCCCCAGCAGATCCAAGAACATTAAAAAAACATTCTCGGCTTCCCGGGAAGCATACAGTGCAAGCAGCAGTGATTAAGGGTTCAAACATTAACACACTCACACGATCTTTTGCTGCCCGTTACCAATTCCCACTTAGGTGAAGGGAGGAAAATTCGTATTATAAAGTGCATCTTCCAAGGACACAACGTCAGGCCCCTGACAGTATTTTGAACCCACGCCTAGCGGTTGTGAGTCTGAGAGCCTTACTACTAAGCAATGTCCGGGGGTACACAATAAGAAGTCTTGGGGCGAGACCCGAATCCCAACATGAAGGGAGACAATCACATGGACTTATTTCTTTCTTTGGCCAAAAAAATAGTAACTGTTTACGATGCGTTTTCCATGAACACACTGACAGACTGGCCGACGAACAGACATGCAGACTGGTCTACGGAAGGTTCGATGGAAATAACGGTAAAAAAAGAGGATGGACAGACTGAAGATTACAGAAAGGGATGGAGAGAGGGAGGTATTCAGAGACAGACAGGGTGAGAAAGACGAAGGCAGAGGGACAGAGAAA